ACACTCCCATCAAGGACCGGTCTATGACCGGTCCTTGATGGGAGTGTGTCCTCCATCGATGACCGGTCAAAACCATTCATCGATGGGGGTGTTGACTCCCATCAAGAACCGGTCAAAACCGGTCCTTGATGGGAGTGTGTCCTCCATCGATGACCAGTCAAAACCGGTCATCAGTGGGAGTGTGTCCTCCATCAATGACCGTTCAAAACCGGTCATCAGTGGGAGTGTTTCTGGTTGTCGAGGGCAGTACACAACTCCCATCGACGGCCGATATTGACTGGCCAATGATGGGAGAGTCTGTGGAACGGTGGACCGGCTTTGTGGCCGGTCCTTGAAAAAAATAAATAAATAAATAAACCAGGTTTCCTCGCGGAAAACCGGGTATGCCACCCACCCCCAAAACCGGGTGTACACGTGGAAAACCTGGGTACGTTGTGGTGACACCAATCAAGGTCATGTATAGTACAAAATAGTTATTTACAGTAGTTTTCATGTTATTACAACCAGATATGCATATGCTACATAACCCTTTATCTTGTATCCAGTTCAGAAGGTTACAAAATAGTATTTTTACACATAGTTTGGTTACATAATATATAGTACTACATAGCTACAACATACTACATATCACACATCTCAAGATACAAATTAGTCTTCCCTCAGTACCTTCTTTCTATGATAATAATCTTTCAGTAAATGTTATTTATTTCATCTCAGATATCACTTATTCAGACTACATATACTGTTTCATCCCATACATCTGATTTCTCATCCTGATATTGTCATCTCATCTCACTCATCATCCACTTCTTTTCATACATCAATTACTTCATTCTACATTTATTTTATTCTACTTTTATTTCATACTACAAGTACTTCATCCTTACATTCCATTTCAAACTCAATACACATGGCTTATATCACCTACATTCTCATCATACATCTCATTTCAACTCATTACTCATTGCTTATATCACCTACATATATATTTCACCACACAGATTTCTCATCTCACCTCAGAATATTTATTTCAGTCTTTGATTATCTCATTTCTTTTTGCACTACATATTATTTTTTATCACAAACAGAAGTTACTTCATATTTTCTCCTTTTCAACATGTTTATTTCACACTACGCATTTGTCAGCCACATTTATTTCATAACCAATTGTCTTTCAGATACAACTTATTTCATACCATCTTCTTACATCAGCTGATATTTTACCACTAGTACCTGATCAGAACCACCCACATGTATATAGAGAAGACTCTTTCCACTTACTTTGTTCCCCATGCTTGCATTAGAGAAGTAAACAGATAATTACTTAGCAGACATCACTTACTAGTAGTTACCAGAAGTAATTATTATTGATTTTTCCCCAGAAGATAAGAAATTGAACCCAGAAACCATTATCCCCCAGAGCCTCATCCTTACCAGAATTCCCCACATCCTCAATCTCTCAGCAGGTGACTTGTACAAGACATCAGTAATAAATCTCATACTAAGATTACCCACAGAAATAGCCACACCTTTTCTTTAATTCTTAGTGTAACTCTCTCCCAAGCCTTGACAAGAGGGCAGCTTCATCAGCATCCAAGTCTTCAACTCACATTTTCCCCTGTGTAGTTGTTCTTTTCCCCTCTAAGCTCTTTTCTTTAGCTTGAAAAGTTCCACAACGTTTATTAATGCCCTATGCAATTTGAAATTTTATATCTATTTACATGCAAAACCAAGCAAGACTGGTATGATATTAATGCCACAGCACGGCATGCAGGCAGGTGATGTGAAAATAAAAACGTCACTTCCGCCACTGCGGAATTGATGTATTTGATTTCATGTCACCTGCTTGCGGGCCATGCAGTTGGCTAAGAGCATCTCTAACGGTCTGGGGGTGGATCGGCTCGACTTCAGCAGCCCGGGAGTAGATGTCCCAAGATGTCACCCACATGTCACAACAGTCCAAAATATGGACTGTGGATGTGGGCAGGGGTGGATTGATCGTGACGTCCCTTCCTTCAAGCACGACCAGCCAACCGATTCCGACCAGCCAACCGATTCCGACCAGCCAACCGATTCCGACCAGCCAACCGATTCCGACCAGCCAACCATTCCACAGCTCGCCCCTTCGTATTCGCAATGGATCCTATCAAAATCATGGAATTGATCGAGGACGACGACGAGATACTAGCTTCCCTGTCAACTTCTATCGCACTAGTCGTGAAAAGAATGAATGCAAAACCGAAGCATGGCGGATCAACAGTTGGCCGAAGAGAAATATATCGAAACCGTCTTCAAGGTGATCAGATGCTCTACCACGACTATTTTTTGGAAAACCCGACCTACCCAGACTACTTGTTTCGTCGACGCTTCAGGATGCAACGAACACTTTATCTTAAAATCGTCGAGGCTGTTTCACAGGAGGATGACTATTTTATTCAAAAAAGGGATGCAGCCGGTCGTTTGGGGTTTTCACCATTACAGAAGGTCACAGCAGCGTTTAGATTGTTGGCTTATGGCTGCAGCGCTGATTCCATTGATGAATACCTGAGAATCAGTCAGTATTTTATTTGTTTTCAAATATATTTCACTCGCTTTTCACTCATACTTCTTCTCTTCCAACACAGGTGAAAGTACTGCGCTGGAAAGTCTCAAGCATTTCTGCTCGGCTTTGGTCAAAATCTACGCCGAGGAATACTTGCGAAGTCCAAATGCGAACGACCTTGCTAAAATTCTTGCGGTCTCTGAAAAGCGAGGGTTCCCAGGCATGATGGGCTCTCTGGACTGTATGCATTGGGGTTGGAAGAACTGCCCCGTTGCAGACCACGGTCAGTACAGCGGCAAGGAAAAGGAGCCGACAGTAATACTCGAAGCGGTTGCGACTCACGACCTGTGGATCTGGCATGCGTTTTTCGGCCTGCCTGGAACTTTAAACGATATCAACGTCCTCGATCGATCACCCATTTTTCAGCAATGCCAAGATGGAGTTAACCCATCGTTTGAATATTCCGTTAACGGCAACCGCTACAACCTCGGCTACTATCTCACCGATAGTATTTATCCCAAATACGCTTCCCTCATTCAATCGATTTCGAATCCACAAGGTAAAAAAAACAAACACTATGCAAAAATGCAGGAAGCGTATCGCAAAGATGTCGAATGCGCGTTTGGCGTGTTACAAGCGCGCTATGCTATTATTCGCTACCCCGGCCGTTTATGGAAGCACCCCGACCTATGTATAATTATGAAGACAGTAATCATTCTCCATAACATGACGGTGGAGGATGAAGCTGGATCGGATTTTGAAGAAGATTTCGACTATGATCAAAATGCTCGCACACAAGCCACAATCGGACGTGATAACTCAGCTAATGCCGACTTTGACTCTTTTCTCTTGCGATATCACGGGCTCCGAGACATTCATGTTCATAACCGCTTGAAGGCAGACCTCGTTGAACACCTCTGGAGCCAATTAGGACGAGATGAAACCGACGAATCGGAGGATTAAATTTTTATCTCTTTTATTTTTAATGTTCTTCTCTCAATTGCAAAGTTCTCTCATGTTTATCTTCTACATCAACATTTTCGTATTCTCTCTCTCAAACTCCTGCAACTTTTTTTTGTTTCAATGATCATTCGGTGCTTTCAGTCAAAAAAGCATCCCTTTGTGTGTTTTTGGATTGCGAGACAAGAAGACAAGAGATAGGAAGTGAGGGTTTGAAGCGAGATGGAAGAGCGATCATGTAGTGAGAAGGAAGTGAGGGTTTGAAGCGAGATGGAAGAGCGATCATGTAGTGAGAAGAAATAGCGAGAAGGCATGATTAAATGAGGCCAGAGTGATCAGAGTGAGCTACAACAAACTGAACAAAGAAAAATTCTCTACTCTGGTCGATCCAAAATTGCACGCCTTTTCTTTTGCCAGTATGCCTTAGCTTCATCATCCATCCCAGACAGATCCATCGCCATGATGCGATCATCTGCCTCCTGCTTCTTTGCCTCCGCAGCCTCCTCCAACGCCTTTTGCACAGATGCCGATCGCTCCTTCGATATCTTGACCAAGTCTTCTTGGGTCTTGATGATCTTCTGCAAGATCGAATCTTCTTCTCGCTTCCTTTTTGCCGCTTTGTTGCCCTCCGGACGTGCGTCAGAACCCAGGGCACTACGGTCGTCGTCGTCGTCTAGTTGAGTGGTTGTTTGAGGACTCGATGGCAAAGAAGCCTCGTTGGTCGCAGGTGTGCTACTTGGCGGGTCCTTGGACTTCTTCTGTCTGAGATCGATCTCCTGCTGTGTTGCCTGCCATTTTGGATGTTCTCTCAAAATGCCCCAGCAGTGATCGAGATTGAAAGCCGACTCGTTCTCGGATTTGTAAAGTTCTTTCGCCTCAGAAAGCTGACAGGAATCAAAATATTAACTAATGTTTATTTGAATATCAATTTGTAGAAATGCAAACTTACAATATCATCTCGACTCATCCCACTCCTCATGCGACGCTCGACTTGCGAATAACATCCTCCAAACTTGTTGCAGACCCTCATAATGTGACCCCAACGACATTCGATCGCATTGACGAGTTGGACTGGTAAAGGCTTGATTGTTTTTGATCTTTTGTTTTCCTTGTTGTAATCAACAACAAGATCGGTATAAAGCTGGTGAACCCGTTCCCAAAAGGTTCCAGCTTTCTGACCGGTTCCGACAATACTGTCTCGGCTCGTGTTCAACCAAGCAGCACAGAGCTGCTTATCTTCATCGATGGTCCACTTTGGAGCCTTCTTCTTAGGAGCATCGTCAGTCTCGTCGGTGATTTCATTTGAAGAAGCGGGTTGGGGAACCGGAGTTGTATGGGGATCCAGCTGACTTGGCATCGAAAGAGTTGTTGCGGGCACTGAGCCAGTGGGGGTCGCATGGGGATCCGGGTGAGTTGTTCTCATCGTACGAGTAGTTGCGGTTGGGGTGGTTTGGTTCATCTCCATGAGGAGTGGATCGAGTACTACCCTTTTGGGAGGCATGGTATTTGGTGTAGGATATGTGGTGTTTGATATGAAGAAGTGCATAAAAAAATGGAAATGGGACGACGGATGGACCGAAAGGTAGCTATGGCAGCTTGGAGGATGGGATGCCAAAGCTGCCAGAAGTAGCAGCCGAGGGCAGCTTGGGTCCACCCCCGGAGCCATCAGCAGCTTGCTCAGCATGGCCGCTAACGGCCAAAAAAGACTCGCGGCCCGCTGAAGTTGGCTCCAGGTCCCGCATCAGCAGGACCGTTAGAGATGCTCTAAGCTTTCCAGTCAACAGCATGCAACCACACAATGAGGCCAGGGTGCTGTGAGTCCAGGTTGGGAGTTCAAGCCCCAAGGTGATTTTTTGTACTGTAGCTAGTTGCTGTGCAGCCACTGTAAAGACAAAAAAATGCCATCAAGCCGCCGTAAGCTTGCCAGCACTACAAAAAATCTTGAATCACATTCTGCAAATGCGCGATCACATCACATGTGACGCAAAATGTGACTGAATTTTTTGGCACTATAAATTCAATTGCATTTTGCAAATGCAAGGTGACATCACATGTGACATGCAATGTTATCGCACATTTGCAGAATGCAATTCAAGATTTTTGGTAGTGCAGACGACCGCTGGCAAGCCAACATTGAAGGGTCAAGCTGACCGCGGGGGATTACGCTCCCCGCTATGAAGCACCCCAGAATTTTGGTTGGGGCGGCATGGGTCAAGCTGACGGAACCGCTTCTGTCAACCACTCATCCACCAGAACCCGTGGTGTACATAGATGGGCACAGCATGAAAGATCCCCAGTGTGCCAACTAGAAGAAAAACCAATTGGCAAAATTTGTGTCAGATTGATTACACAATTCTCCCAGCCAAAAATCCTAATGCTCTCAGGTGGGTTGACTTTAGACGCAAGTCCCTCCCACGAGTCGTCGCAATGCGACAAGTGGTTTACCACTCCGAGTCTCTCCGACAAAGGGAGGCAGGGACTTAGTTAAGTTAGGGCTTTGTGTGGCATCAGCCAAGTGACAAAAGAGTCAAGAATCGCACAAAAAACAAACAAGGTGTGGGTGGTGCCGTGCCAAAGATAAAGAAAATCGGCAATTGAATACACGTTTTGGGTCGCTTCCGACGCGTAAGTTTTTGAAAGATCCAGGACAAGAGCTTTGGATCAGGAGATCCAGACAGATTGAATCGACCATCCCGTCGACCCAGTCGCCTAGGACAAGGTATCGCAGGGTTTGTGCGCCTTTTTTTTTCGTCGCTCGGACAGAAATCGGTTAACTGCGACTTCGATCCATGAAGTGTACGAAGAATCGTCGAGCCCGTTCCAAGTTTCGGGATTAAAGTTCTTGTACCAGATTCCCAAGATGATGATCGCTTTAGTCAATGCACAATCGCTTGGTGCGTCTTGGCTCAGATAGTCGATCAAATGTTCTTGTAACGTTCCAAACGGGTTTTTCGGATCGTAACTTGTTGCTTGTCCTTCAGTGACTTTTCCTAAGGCCGGAAGACCGTTGGTAGGAGTGAAAGTCTCAGAGAAAAACCAGTCCCAGAATTTCAACTCGTATGCCCCGCGCTGATCGTTCTTGATCTCTAGCTTGTTCAGAAAAGCCTGATGCGAAATGTGAATCCATTGCATTAGGCTAGACATGCTCCTCCTCAACATCAGCATCTTCACAGTGTTTTGGTGGAAGTCAAAGATTCGGATTGTCATAATTAGATTGCCGTTCTCATTCCAAAACCTGCATATCCTAGCTCGGTCATTATTCCCGATTTGTTTTGATTCATAATTTCCCGGTGGGAGATCCGATTCGGACAGCAAAGTTTGAACTTTTTCTAGCTGAAAGGTTAGCAGTGGAGGCTCGTCAAATGACATTCGATAAATTCTTCGGTTGGGCTGAATTATTTTCTTGTGCGGTACAACATCCTTTAACTTATATACGGGTATGGGCACGTGTCCGTGATGATCCTCCATGTGATCGGACGAATGACCTGGTTGGTGGCTAACTGATGAGCTCTGGATTACTTTTGGGTGTTACTACCATCGGACCATAGCCCAAAGGTGGCTAGTGCTACTTTACTAACCTTTGAGCCTCTTGGCATCGTGTACCAACTCTATTGTCCTACTAAGGTCTCTACTCAAGTCATCCGGGCTACCAATTATTTTTGACGATAATGATTGCGATGAGCTTGAAGGAATGTTTGTGTGGCGTGAATGACGGGCTGGATTGGCGTCCAAATGTTGAGAGTTCAGAAGATGAAGTAGAAGTTGTCTAAGGTTGATAATCACGAAACTTATTTTCAATGGAGAATGCTCTCTTACCAACAGATGGACCAAGTTGACCCGATGAAAGATATTCAGCCGGTATCTGGAATGGGAAGTAGAATGAAGCTTGATGCCCACTTGCAGCGGAAGATGATGCCACTTCACGGGCCGGTTGGGTAGATTGAGCCAAAAAATCAGTGAATGTGGTTGGAGGGCGGAATTCAAAATCTGGTTGAATTTCTCGCTCTGTGACTCCTGCTTCTGGTTCCAACAAATCTCCGAAGTAGTAGTAAGGGAATCGTTTGACCTTGTTTGCTTCATTTGGAATGTATGGCTGGGCCAGCGTCAGTCCGGCAATCGCGAATGATATCAAGCAAGCTTTCGACTTAAATTCACACCGAGCCCATCGACGATCATCGTGCCACATCTGAGAGTAAACAGTAACGTTGGTGAGTTGAAGAGCGAAAATTGGGCTGCTTTTTTGTCTTGCTGATGTGGGCATCGCCAGAGCAATGTCAAACCTGTGCGACTTTAACTTAAGAGCTACTTCTCTGATTAGAAGCGCATGGGCCGAGTCTCATTCTCAATATGTAGGAGTCAAGTTTCAGATATGTTTTAGGGCTGTTTCATACAATTTACCCGCTGATTCTATTACCAAGAGGATTTGGATAAGCCAAACTACAAACACGTATTTTCGAACTCTGAGACTGAACTGGTTCACAGGATGTTTGGTTTTGAGCTGAGCATTACCAACTAGTGACATTTTCAAAAGCTCTCAAATCTGGGACGTACCTAAGAACTTCTTGACCCTGGAACCAGTCAAAAGAAGTGTTGAGCCAATTGGCCTTATAATGATTGTAAACAAGAAGCTGACCATTGAGCAAACTTGCAAAGCTTCTCATAAAGACTACCCAATTTTGTAGTAATGTAAAAGAAGAGCAGGATCTCAAAGAATAGGTGTACTGAGAAATCTCAAACAAGCATTGGTTAGCATACTACTTGAAGCTGAGGGTGATAGTTTTGTAGAGTGAATACACAGATTATACAATCTAGCAAAGATATTAAAGAACAGAAATGAACATTCATTCAAGCTGGAATTCATCATTATGACCTGTCTGCTTGCGACACATGGGTAGTTGACATCAACTGATCCCAAGGAACGGGGAGAAAATTTCCATGACTGGACAGGATTTCAATGGACTTCATAGCCTGCTTTTGAGTACGAGTGGACTTCCGCTTTCTTGAAAGATGTGGCGTTTCTCTGTCCTGCGGGTCAAGGGGGGTTCCCCACTCTCTGTTTCCCCGGCGATTTAAGATCTCAAGAATTTCGGCTTCGATCCATGAGGTGTAGGAAGAATCATCGAGCCATTGCCAGATCTCTGGATGGAAATTTTTGTACCAGATTCCCAAGATAATGATTGCCTTGGTCAAGACGTGAATCGGTGGTGATTTTTGAGATAGGTAGTCGATCAAATGGTTCTGTACCGTCCCAAACGGATTCTCTGGATCATAAAGCCGTGCTCGCTCTGGGTCGATTCTTCCGAAGGCTGGAAGATTTTGTGCGGGTCCAAAAGTCTCGTAGTAAAGCCATTGCCAGAAGACTAGTTCGTATCGATGTTGCGTGTCAGTATCAATATTCAACTTGTTCATCGCGGCCTTACTGGCAAAATGAATCCATTTTAAAAGACTAGACATGTATTCTTTCATAACCCCATTCTTCACCACCCTGTCCTGATAATTTAATACCCTGATCTGTTCGACCAACAAACCTGCTCTGTTGTAAGATCGACACAGCTTGACGCGCTTGTCCCCAAGAATATCTAATCTTTCGAAGTTTCTACGCGGGAGAGTGGCATATGAAATCAACTGTTCGAATGCTTCAATGCAATTGGTTAACAGTGGAGGTTCAGCCATCGTTCGATAAAGACTTCGGTTACTGGAGATGATTTCCTTATGAGGTACAACATCAAGCAAGTTGGCTCGGAGACTATATTGATGTAAGGGTGCCACAATCGGATTGGGCAAAAACCTAGGCGAAGCGTGCTCTACAAAATTACGATGTACTTGGAGATGGAAGTTTGAATTCAGTATTTTTTTTTTTTTAATTTTGTCCTATATAATCCATAGGTGGACCAACTTTTAGCTCGCTTGGCATTTGGAACAAGTTCGGCTCTCCAACTAGAATCTCGAACCAAGCCATCCTGTTCATCGGGAACTACTGATGATGAGGTTTCCGCCGGTGGGTTCTGGTAGGCTGGATGAGGAACTGAATTGATTCAAATTTAAACGAAAAAAAATGCCCAAAGAGTTGGGTTGAAAGCATGAGCATTATACAAAAAAGCAGAATTGAAATTGAATGGAGTGCACTCTTTCTTACCAGGAGAGTGAATAAAATGATTTGATGGTAAATATGCCGCTGGTATAAAATCAAAAGATGCTTGATTATTTGCAATCCAAAATGTTGGTGACTCTCCCCGGGTAAGCTGAGTCGATTGAGCTGGAAGATGATTGGGCGGCGATAAACAATTGCGGAATTCGACAACCGGATGGTTCAGCTGTTCAGGTTCTGTGCTATCCTCATGTTCTGGTCGCAACAAATCGCCGAAGTGATAATAGGTGGCTACCCTAGCTTGGTCTTCAGCCCCGTCAGGAATGGATGGCAGACATAAAGTCAGCGCAGCAATCGCGAGCAACATCAAGCAGCATTTCCAGTTGCTTTTATATAGGGTAGTCTGCTGGGGATCCTTGTGCCACATCCTAAGAGTAAAAACGCGAGTATGTAGTCAAGATTGGTGATCGAGCCTCATTGATCTGTCCAGATGGCGACCACGCGCCGATCGGTGTGGGATGCCAAGTAACCGATAAGTTCAACTCTACAACTTCTGATTGTCCCCCCCCCCCCCTAGCAGTCAAATTTGTACCCCCTTGTCTTCTTTCCAAACACCAAAATCTTGCTGATACATGAGTACGTGATTGAATATTTCAAGAATTTGACTTCAGTTGTCTCGACCTGTTCCGAGTTTTAGATAGTCTGCTTCAGCCCGGTTCTGCTGGCTTCTATGAGCTTCTATGCCCCACTACATAGGTGATGTCTATTCTGGCCTGAAGCTCCAGCTTCAAGCTTAAATGGCACTTGTCTGAGGTTGATGTATTTATTCATTTGCTAGAATGACGAATAATCAGGTAAAGCATTCAATGCTTCAACTTCAACGGGGCCATAAATCTGTGCATATCTGATGCAGACTTGTTTTAACCCAAGCGACAAAACATGGTTAATTGCACTGCCATAATTTTGCGTTCCGCTCAGCACCGGGCAACATAGATCTCGGTTCCGGGGTGTAAGGCCACCCATGTCCACATACTGCTAAAGGTCGGCAGTCCCCATGCGGAAGATTTGCTGGGGTGAGATTGTCATCACATTTGAGGTTGACTTCGGGCAGGGCATGCGGTGAGGGAGAGCGTCGATCCCCTCAGAATTGATCAAGAGGACTTGCAAATACATAATCAATGTATTTACTTAATATTTACTAGGGTTTAGGGGAGGCTGCGCCGCCCTGTTCACCATCAATCGTTCTAAGTTAAATTCTTCCCCCAAAACCCTTCCTCAATCCATCGTACCCGATCACCCTTCCGATTCATCTGCCTGCGCTACAGTCCACCCATTTCCCTCTAAACACCGTTCATGCCCTCCTATCACATGTAAATCTTTCATTTTACCACCACACTTCCCATCAAGACCTCCAACCGGGCGAGGACCCATTTCGTCAAACTCCAAAACCAGATGGACATAGAAATTTGCATTCAACAATCACCACACCTTTCCTATTTCACCTAAAAAGAACTGTCATTGAGAGTTAGCATCATGTGAAACTTGCAATTATGGAAGGTGGTCCTTCGGTTTGTGTTGTTGACTGAGGAATCGGTGGGGGATGTAATTCTCTCCCTCAAAGCCCGAGCGTGCTCACTGTTGGTTTGGGTAAGTTATCTCCAATCTGGTCTTGGTAAATTTCTGGGAGGTCAAGTCGCTGGGAGACGTCCGAAGTGAATGGCATTTCTTAAATTGGAACAGGCAGTGAATAGTATTTCCATTTCAAGATGAAAATGCAATAATCTTCGCGGAAAGTTATCTTTAGCAGGAGGGATGAATTAAGAAAGAGTAAAGTCATATGATTGATGGGTGATTAGTGTTGGAATGTTATTCCTTGTCTTAGCCCTCAAAAGAGGAGATTGTCAGGTTAGTTTATCATTTTGATGATTAAACTTCCTGAAAGATAAATAATTAACGCGCTGTTTTAATCAATTGTTGATTATGCGCAGAATCAGGATGTTCCATAGAAGAACTAGAGCGTGCCAAGCATGTAGCTTGTGAAACAGGAGTTGATGTCAGTGACGTCAGAAGACTGCACAATAATGATGATTGTGATCATTCATCAAGCTCTAGGTGAGTCTCGATTGAATTGATCACAAGTAATGAAGAAAGGAAAAAGAACAAACAAGTTTGAATTCCTCATTCTCAATCGATCATCAACAAATTATTTGTTTAGTTCGCGCTTGTACAATCGTACTCCTAACAAGCTCATTGATAGGATCTTTCCGGCTATAGTTGGTAAGCAAGAAGTAAAAGACTTTGCAAGCCTTTTTCTTATTAAGAAAAAGAGAATAACCTTTTGGATCCAATTTATGAATGCTTAGTCGATTCAATCGCTGAACAACAACCAACAGTTTAAAAGGTTATCGAAATAAGAAATCTATTTCTCAATGATAAAAGTAAAGTGTTTTTCTTTATAACTTAACACTTGATCAACACAAAGATAAATTTATTTATAGCTAATCAATAATAAATTTATTCAGCTACCTTTATTCTTTATAACTCAGATAAATTAGCTATATCATCTTCATTGTTATCTCATTATCATTAGTAGAATTAGCAGATTCTATTCTGCCTTCAGGTATTTCTTTAACTATTTTATTTATAAATGTATTTGTTATATAATATTAAAAGAAGAATACTTATAAAGAAATGAATCCTTCAGTTCTAAAATCTTTCAATCAGGAATGGAAAATTATCAGGTGAGGGTGGAATACGGTGAAGGTAAATTGCAGATGAGTTGAGGGAACATGCATTACGAGGCGTAAAGACAGAAGGAAAGTGTGATGGAAAAGGAATTCTATTGTTACACCACAGGGCCAGTTTTTTGAAACTGGCCCCATCCGCCGGACACTTTCCTGAAGAGAGCGTCCAACGGATGTGATCAGAGCATCCGAGGGACGCTCTGGCGAGCCAGCATCACTTGGATGCTTCCAAAAGCATCCAAGTGACGCTGGCCAAATATGAAGCATCCAATTGACGCTAGGATTTATTGTCCATCGGACACTCTCCAACCAAGAGGGTCCGATGGGTGGTGGTTTTTAGTGTGTCCATTGGTCACTTTGATTTAACATTTCCAATTGGAGCTGGTGGTCGATGGTCGAAAAAAGATCCAAAAGTTTGGTCAATGGTAGAAAAAAGCTCCAAAAAAGCGGTCGATCGTCGAAAAAACACTCCCAAAGTGTGGTTGATCGTCGAAAAACACTCCAAAAGTGAAAGTGATGTGATTGTCAAAAAAACTCTAAAAAGGCTGTGAAGTGGCTTACTCCGAAGTGCAAATTCGGTCTATAAACAACAATTTGGGTTCACTTGAAAGAATGATTCTGTGTCACTACAGGCAAACAGGTGTCGCTGCGGCCCGCAGCGTCACCTAACCCAAAGGGGCCCCCCTTGGGTTAGGTGACGTTCCGCCCGGGAGCGTCACCTAATTGCCCGTAGTGTGTAGTGTAGTCAGTAAGGACAAGCTCTCACAGCTGGCGATTGGATGTCGCATACAGTCTGCTGCGACACCCGCAGTAAGGGGGGCCCCTTGCCACGGGTGTCGCAGCAGACTACGTGTGATATCCCAGTGACAGCTGTGTCTGTGGATGTGCAGTGGCACTTCCATGAGGTCATGGGTTCAAATCTGGATGTGCTCATTTTTTTCTTTTCATTGCAGAAAAAAAAGCATCCAGTGGACGGCTTGAAAACTATCCAGTGGACAGTTTTCCAGAAAACGTCCGCAAACTGTCAGGCAGAGTAGTGTCCAATGGACACTCTCTGCCCTGCAAGTTCTGGACAGCTCAGATGATGTCCAGAAGAGTGTCCATGGGACATCAGAATGGTCCCGTGGTGTAGGTGAAATAGCAAAGGTGTGGTGATTGTTGAATGCATAGATAGAGGTGTGGGTCATGAAAAGTTGTGAAGTGCGTACAAAGAGATAGGGGATGAGTATAAAAGAAGAGCTACTGGAAAGGTGTAAACGCCATCGTATGACTCTTGTTCGGCGGCATCGCTTAGATCATACGATCCGGGGACAATACCCGTGAGGAGGAATAGATTTTGTTTTTTTATTTATGACAGAAGCGGTTTGCTTAAACCTAAACTGTTAAAAACTGTTAATCCAAGCGGAAGTGGCAAACTTGGAACAGCCACGAAAGATCCCTTTGGAGCTTAAAAGTGGAGACCGTACTAGGGTTAGGTTTACATAGTGCACGTTTAATCAGGTTTTTATGGTCGCAGCCGAGTTTTAACTGAGGATGTACCGATGTGAAGGATGGTCGCCGGGTCTATGTATTACATACGAGTGTTATCGGGTGACGTCACCCCCCAGACTGCCGAGATAAAACCAAGAAAAGTGTACAAAAATGGCAATGCTCCTCAACCGATCGATGGGCAGTAGGACCTTAGTCAGCCCACTCAGAACACTTACAACCACTCGATCAAGCTCAACCAACTTACTCAGCCAACTCCAACACCAACCAGTTTACCAGGCTTATTGCCCCAAGTCCTACCACTCCAGCAGAACTACCAGTCAAACCATCTTCCAAACTAGAGCCCAGTCTACTACTACCTCCTCAAAGAAGATGCCATTGAAAGTTGGAGACACTATTCCGGTTGGTGGAAAAAACACAACCCTTCATATGCTTGATTCTTGGGTAGACTGACTTATTTTGTTGGTGACAGTCCGGTACATTCAGCTATATCCCTTACAGTTGAGTTTATCCATCCAGATATCTAGAAGCCTTGGAAAAACAAGTATCGATCAGGATGTCTACTGACTAAGGCCATCCTACTTGGTTTAAACACAAACACTGAACAGCTCCTGAACTTTCCTCGCCAACCGTCTGTGGAAATGCGATCGACTTGAAGACCGATCAATGGAAGGGGAAGTGAGTGGACATATTCCGTTATTATGATCACTTTTCTGTTTGATTCCCTGTTTGATCGATCTTAAGCTGATTGCCACATGGTGCTTATGCATGGTCAAATTCAAGGAAAATCGTTTTGTTTGGTGTTCCAGGTTAGCTAGATACCATTCAATCTTTGGACTTGTTCTCGAACAGTGTATCCATCCTTCCTGAGACTGACTGTGATGATGACGATGATGACAATCCAGGCGCCTTTACCAAAAGTTGAGTAACACAGAAACTTGCATCACAACCAATCCTCCTAGTCACTCCGGAATGCAGCGTGGTTACAAAATACTGAGAGACAAACTTTCATGGGTTTGTTGATGGTTAGCTTGTTCGGCCAATCATTTACCCGCTTATGTTAAAAAGGCCGGCGAGTTGAAGTCCAAAGGCATCTCGGGCATCTACTGCATTGCTTCAAACGATGCTTTTGTCATGTCTGGATGTAAGTCGACAATTTATGAATGAAATATGTATGTGTTCAATCTGGAATGGGGTCTGACAAACCTCGTGGCTGGTCTCAATACAGGGGGTCGTTTGCTTGGTTCCAACGAACATGTTGAAATGGTATGTAACGATGGCTCGAGTAGGCAACTTATGATGATAGCCTCATTAATAATTTCCTGCTGTGTGTTGTTCGATATTCAGATCAGCGATTCGACTTTGAAATGGTTGGAAGAGGCTGGTTTGACCGTCGATCTTAGCGCCCATGGGCTTGGCAAGCGTGGTACTCGCTTTGCTCTCGTCATCGGTCTGTCGATTGACTCATCCAAACCGTACTCTACTTCCAATTGGATCGAATAACTGATTAATTGAGATGGATGTTGATTATAGATGACTTGAAGGTCACTTACGTCGGCATCGAGGAAAGCCCCGGCTCAGTATCAGTCTCCGGAGTTGATGCTGTGCTCCCAAAGCTCTGAACCCACTTCTCGAGCCCATGAAGGTCGACTTGGTTTTAAGTCGAGAAAAAAAAATGTTAACCACTCGCTATCTTGTGTGAGATTTCAGTCTCAGTTTGCAGTGCATGGTAAATGAAACTATATCTGTCACGACTATTGGCTTGTCTGCAATGTTATCGTATATCAAGTCCTGTCCTCCATACCTGTTTTCCTCCACTGGCCTACTAGAAAAATTGGTTTTGTAGTACTGGCCACCCTGAATCTGATCGACTTCTGTGCGCCTGACTGTCAATGAGAATATTGACCTCTACAAAACCCAAACAGTTTGGGAAGATCATGTCTTTCTTTCTGTTCATCTCGGTTACATGAAGACACAGCTGTAGGGCATTAACTCACAGGTTCAAATGTGCCTTGACAGCAGCACTCATAGGCAGATATTTCTTGTTATAACCCTATGGCTCCATGGATCAAAGAGGATAGGTTATGAGTCCTGGCCCAGTTGAGCTCATGTTGATGAAGCAAGACAAGTCCATCATGAATGCTGATGGATTAGAAAGCTGCTGGGCTACAACCACATCACCATTAAGACTTTTAAGATATCTTAGATACACGCAAACCACTCAATAATTTTCTCATTAAATCAAGTGGAAATTGTTTGATTTAATTAATTTATGTCTTGTTAGAGACTCAGTGTTTCTTTCGCCCTTTCTACTTGGACATTCAAAAAAAAAGCTAGTGGTTCAATCCAAAGAGATCTCAGATGTATGCCAATTAACAAGCCAGTAATGTAAGATTGTTTCTTCCATGTCGGATGTGGTTTTGGAGGACCTCATGGTGGCTAGTGGATGATTAATTGACGGCGAGGATGTAGATTTGGTTATGAAAGGTTCAAAAGACAGCTTCAAAGTCTTGATATTCTCATCTGATTCTGATTCTGATTCTGAAATGAGAAAGTTGATGAGTCTGTTGCTGATGTTTTCTGATGAGTGATTACACACTCCAGCAGAGGTGGGTGGTGTGAGTTGGGTTAGGTTTACAGTTTATTTTAGTTTTTACCAGTCACAAACTGAAACTTCACAGCCCCCTTCGATCGGGAAGGACAACCAGCACAGCACCCAACAAGTACGACTCCCATGCTGCCCGGCGTTGAATGCTCAAGACAGCCATCAGAATATCAGCAAGACTACTAGCACAACAGAGAAACACAACCACACCCACACCCTATCACCAACCCAGCTTCCACATCAACCGTCTAATCCATTCCAGACGACCACCACCTCATATCAAGATGACGGAGAAACTACAGCCCAACGAGCAAGGCCTCTACCTCGATGAACCCTCCGGAGAGATGGTCAGCAAGAGCGAACTGAAGAGGAGAGCCAAACTGAGGGAGAAAGAAGCCAAGAAAGCCGCCGAGAAGGTACGAACAACTGTCTCCCAGATTGTATTACTATTTGAGACTCACATTGTTCCTCCCCCTTTCGCTGCTGACCTTAAAAAAAAAAAAACGTCGAATTTAGCCCAAAGCAGCTCCGCAAAGCTCGGCTAAGAAGGACACAGCAACTTCAGAAGAAGAGCTCTCACCTAACGTACGTGGAAGGTCGCCTCAAGGAGTCTGCTAGATTTCCCTTGAGTGATGAGAGCTGATTTTGTGCTAGAGTTCATTTGAGGAATTCAGCAATACTACGAACTACGATGTCGGGCCATCCAAGCGCTCAGGGAGGCCAACCCGCCCTTCTCCTCCACACCGAGCTCAGACCCATCCCTGCCATCGCCGTATCCTCATAAGTTTCATGTGACGAGCTCGATCCCATATTTCATTAAGAAGTATGCCGACCAAGTCCCCGAACCGGGAGATCGATTGGAAGAGAAGGATCAGATCAGTCTCGCTGGTCGAATCCACAATATGAGACAGGCCGGCTCCAAGCTCAGGTTCTATGACTTACACGGCGAAGGAGAAAAGATCCAGATCATGGCATCTTCCAAGTATGTGTCTCAGATTGATGGTTTAGATCACTAGGTGATTTAACTTAACTTTATTTTTTGTTTCCGTTCCGTCTGGATGATAGTGATTCCAAGGAGCCCAACAATTTCGAAGCGACTCATGACATCTTCCGACGAGGGGATATCGTCGGAGTGACTGGCTTTCCCTCACGAACCAAGAAGGGAGAACTCTCGATCTCACCCAGGAGCATGATCTTACTCTCGCCTAACCTTCATCAACTGCCTCGGGCGGAAACGACGATCACCACCGAGGCCGGCACAACAGAGAGCAAGTTTGGGTTCAAGGATCAGGAGCAGAGACATCGTAAACGGTACCTCGATCTGATCATGAATAAGGAAGTCAGAGATGTCTTCATCACCAGGGCTCGGGTGATCAACCATGTCCGGCGATTCTTGGACGACCTTGGATTCTTGGAAGTTCGTCTTAACAAAAATCGATTCATTTCCAAGGCGTTTTGACACCAGATTCCTGAGCTTGAATTTCTCATTTGTATCGATCTTTCACTCTCTCTTTCGTTCGGGTTCAGGTCGAAACTCCGATGATGAACATGATCGCTGGTGGTGCCACTGCCAAGCCTTTTATCACCCACCATAACTCCTTGGGCTTGGACCTGTTCTTGCGGATTGCACCCGAACTGTACTTGAAAGAGCTCGTCGTTGGTGGACTGGATCGTGTATATGAGATCGGAAGAGTCTTCAGGAACGAATCAATCGATCTGACACACGTATGTGCTTTTCTCTACTCTCTGTATATGTTTACGTATGAAGATCAATTGAAATCAATGTTTTGTGGAAATTGTAGAACCCGGAATTTTCGATCTGTGAATTCTATATGGCATACGCAGACATGTATGATCTCATGCAATTAACGGAAGCGATGTTATCAGGACTAGTGCACAAGTTAAACAACGGTTCTTATAAGATCAAGTACCATCCTGAAGGACCTAATAGTGAGAAGGTCTATGAATTAGATTTCTCTCCTCCTTGGAAAAGGTTTAATATGATCGAAGAACTCGAGAAACAGTTGAAGGTCAAATTTCCAACAGGCAAGGATTTCGAAGATAAGGAGAAGATCACTAAATTCTTGGATGATCTGTGTGTCAAGGTAAATTGATCATCGAAATCTGAATGATGATTCGCTTTGGTTTATTTTTTTCTCACTCGCTCTTGATGTGTTTGTCCAGCACAATGTAGACTGTCCAGCCCCTCGAACCAACTCGAGATTGTTGGACAAATTGGTGGGCGAATACATCGAGAACCAATGTATCTCTCCCAGCTTTATCGTCGGCCATCCTCAGTTCATGTCTCCCTTGGCCAAGCGTGACCGTTCCAAGCTTGGGCTATGTGAACGATTTGAGGCTTTCGTCGCAACCAAAGAAATCTGCTTGTAAGTTGTCTCTTTCTCTCTCTCTCCTTATCCGTTATACTTGTGGTTTTTTGGGATTATTTTTGTTTCTCTGGATTCAATGTTGATTTGTTGTGGCCTTTGTGGGGTGGTCTGATTTCGGTTAGATACGGAATTGAATGATCCATTTGATCAACGTGAACGGTTCGAGGAACAGACACGACAGAAGGCAGCTGGAGATGACGAGGCTCAAGGGATCGATGAAACTTTTGTCAGTCTCGGACTAGATCCCGCTTCTAATCCATCGACTCGTTTGGTCCTCCTACCACAAGAAAGATGTACTGAAGAATGCCTCTTGTCTTGGACACTTATGGTAGATCGATGCGTTGGAACATGGACTCCCACCGACAGGTGGATGGGGATTAGGAATCGATCGATTGGTGATGCTTTTGACCGATAGTAACTCGATCAAAGAGGTCCTCTGTTTCCCTGCTAACAAACGTTTGTCGCCCCCTGTATCTCTTTCATTAAATCTCTTTTTCGACTTGTCACTGATATCTCAAATTCATCCCTCTCTTCCATCAATCTATGTATCCCACTTTTTTTTTCTTTTTTTTCTTTCTTAGCTTTACCAAAGGACTCTTCATGAAGAAAAACAGTCTTATGATCGGCTTTGGTGTCTGTTTTTCTCTGCATATACCCAATACTTGACCCAATCCTTGGGCAAAAATCAAAATCACACTGTTCTTTTTTTTGTTTCATCAGTTTCACACTTGATTTGCTCCTTCAAAAAAATAAATAAAGTAACAGTAAGTAGCAAATTTGGAAGTGATATCAAATGGAAAGATCCTCTGTGGGGGGTTTCGGTTATGTCAGTGGGAGAAATGAGTTTGACTGGCACATAGTTAATTGTGATGTATATAGTTCAACCTGTACAATTGCTACCAATTGCAGAAAATTCGACACTCTCGAAATCACTCTAAATTTTGGAAGAAAACATGGTCAAAAGGAATTCCGGCGGGGGCATGTTTGCCAAGTTTGTTACACTTCTATGTGCCTGATGTGCTTCCGGGTGGGTTTGAACCGGATTGAGGTGGTCCCTTTCGAATGTTATATGGGGGAGGCACGCCACGATGGATGGTGCAACCTTCGACGGGCACGACTTGGGACTGCTTACATGACACGCAATGGTACAGCCGGGTCTTGACCCTGCCCGTACACCCTGCCTCCCAACAACCCTCTGTCCGGGAGGCTGCTTGCCCGGTCTCCTTGACAATTACCGGTTCAAGGGTCATGGGCCGGCTCTTGCACTCTGGGCATATCAACCACGACGTTGGGGGCTGGGTTGCGTGCAGCTGAGTGAGGAGGAGGAGGAGGATGGACATGGATGCCGCAATGAGGACTCCCGATTGGACTTGCATGGTTGGTTGTGTGGTTGTTTCAGAGCAATGGATTCCTGCGTGAATTGAACTGCAGACTTGCACTTAGTTGAAGGTCTAATGTTGGCCGTTGATCGATTAGTTGGACAACAATCCAAGTACACCAGCAACGATGATCCGGTTAGACAGCGTCATTTTGGCACCCTTATCGTGTGTCTGGAGTTGATCTTGATTCATGGTTGCTTTTTTTGTTTCTCTGGATCTGAGTTTGAGTAGATATGTCATAACACCCGCAGCAATGTGTTTGCTCTTTGCGGCAAGCGAAGGAAGCTGGAGATGACGAGGCTCAAGCTGGGATCCACAAAAATTTTGTGAGCTCGTAATCATGTACAGCTATTTCGGAAAGGGTTGTCCACTTGGACTCGCGAATTCGTTTTTATTTTTTTATTTTTATTTTTTTTATTTTTTTACTGAACTGTGTTATGCCAGGAATCCTAATATTCGAGTGAAAAGAAGAAAACTCCCCCAAGGGGATATAAATTTCTTAAGAACCTAGTATTTATGGAAAAAACCTATGTACATACTTGGGTTGGTGAGAAACAAAAACCCATAAATCCATAGACTATGTATATAAATAGGGTGAGAAATCTGTCAAAATGTGACATGGGAATTCATGTCATAACAAACTGGACCTGTCAGAACTGAACTACTGATGACAGCTGTACCAACACTGCCACAGATACAATACGATACATGTATCACCAATACTGAGTATCGTATTTTTTTTCTGATACCAATTTTGAGAGAGACACTTCTTGTATTTGGTCCCAAATACGATACCATGTATCGTATCTAGTGGGCAATACATGGTATTTGTGTTTATTGGTATCATGTGATGATACTGATACGGGAGGAATACCGGATTTCCAGTATCAGATTTTTTTTATTTTTTGATAGCTATTTATGCAGTTTAATTTCTGGGCTAGGATTTAACTAAGACTATGGATCCTTGAGGATCTTTTGGGCAAAAAGGAAAAAAAAAACAGTTCTACTTCATGTGATGGGGGATTTTCTTCCCCTTTTGAAAGGCCTCCTCTTCATTTTCCTGGGTGATGATAGCCTGTGCAGTCTCAAAAGTTTTGTCCGGTTCAAATCCTTGGACTATCCATTGATGAGAACTTACACAACGTTCAATCGTACTTGCTTCAAGACTTCCTCGATTGTGACCACAAGTGTCAGCTGCGGCCGAAAAACACCTCTCAACACTTGCAGAGGTTGCTGAGCAAGCCAAGTAGTCCCTTGCAAGGAGGGCCAAGGTTGGGAACTCTTCTTCATGGTCCTATTAAGAGAAATTAAGTTAATGTTATATTCATCTCCAAATTTTGATGATGAAATACGATTACCTTCCACCATTGCAAGCACTGATCGGCTTCAGAACTTGGCAACTTATACTTACCCCCCAAGTAGATAGCAAGCTCATCAGCAACAGGAGCCTTGACTGAGTCAGGAAAATAGTCGGTTTGCTTTTGAGCTTGTTTGATGGATTTAGACTTGTCGCAACGGCGCAACCGCTACGTTACACTTAGCGTAGCGCAGTGATAGCGTAGCGTTTTTGGGCTAGCTACGCTACAGCTCCTTTTTAGAGGGGCACCGCTGCAGCTACAGCTACGCATGAGGCTCAATTTTTTTTTTTTGGTTTTTAGCGCGCTCAATTTAGCAGGATTTAGCGCGCACTCGCTAAGCTACAGCTCACTTTAGCGCCGCTACGCTACATCTAGCGAATGATTAGCGGGCGGTGCCGCTACATTAGCAGGGGTTGAGTTCAAAAATTATTATTTTTCAAATGTGGAATAAGTAGTCAAGTTGGCCACAATGTATAAGAATCAGGGGGTGTGGTAAGTAAGACAAGTAGGACAGTGTGGATAAGGATAAGGAAACTATTATTATGAGTAATAGCAAAGCATTATTTGGTTTTACCAACATGCTTGATCTTGTGGGCCTTGTATTTCTTCGATTGATTTGCCACTTGAGTTGCAAACTTTGGATTGGCTGTGGCGGTGTCAACCACAGACTGACAATCAGCAAATTCACCCTTTGCCTTGATACCTTCTTGCAACCAAATATGGCTGCTGACACATCGCTCAATGGTAGCAGCAGCCAGACTCTTCCTACCAGGGGCGCACACATCAGCAGCTGCTGAGAATGTCCGTTCAACTGTGGCCGACGTTCCTGCACACGCTAACACGTCGCGAGCTACTGTTGCCAGTCGGGGGAACTCAGACTCGTGATTCTAGAAGATAGGCTCATGATCAGTTCAATGTAATACTAATGGCAATATGAGAGCGTGATCACATACCATCCACCATTGAAGAGGATCACCCTTTTTCCCAAGTGGCCATGCGCCGTCGAGATATTTCTTAATCTCGTTGTCTTCCTGCGACACCCGGTTCTTTGCAGGATAATAGTTGAACCCGTCTGCATCAGAATCGTCCGCGTTTGAATCTGGGGTAGTCGATTCGGGGGTCAACAGATTGTGAGCTTCTTGTTTGGCCTTGAATGCCGCTTGAAGGAGATTGAATGCGATATCGGCGTGATCAGGATATTTGTCTTTAATAAGGCATAGCCTCCACGCTGGGTGAAGGATCGAAGCAAGTACTAAGGCAGAACAACCAATGGCGATGTCTTGATATTTTTTGGCTATCTTGATCATCAGATCAAACATCGGTTTTAACACGGCGAATTCGGGAGCAGCCTTTTTTTTCTCAAGGGATTTGATTAGGCGGCAGTACTCGTACAATACCATTGAAGCGTTGGGCCCGTCCCCCTCCATGTGTAACGTTAACGCCACAAATTCCTGGGTTTGAACGATTGAGATGTTAGTTGTGTAAATACTACAGCAAGGGCCAAGGATTGAATTGGAGAAATCAGAAATGGGCTTTACCTCTAATACTATGGTGAGGGAGTTGAGGTTCTCCCATTCTCTCTTGGAGATTTCATAACCTTTGTAGTAATGTACAATACCCGACTTCCCTGCGCACTTATCGGTTTCGTTTTCTAAAAGTTGGTCAATCACTTTTTTGGCCGCATATGCACGTTGCCAACAATCGTAAGCGATGTTCCAGCGAATGCCATACCCGGGGATTAGTGAGCCTTTGTGCTTTAAATCGTCGGCGACTAGTTTGAAGTCGGCTCGCCTAGCTGAAGATGATGAGACCCTTCGACAAATGTAATCAACCTGCTTTGGAACATTAGTATTGAGTTTCTGAGTGGGAGCGATCAGTTTGATAAAAACTTACCTTGACTAAGGTGTGGCCGATTCCACCATGGTGGACGGTCTCACCTCCCAGCTCGTCCGAGTTGTTATCAGAATCCTGACCAGCGTTTGATACATCATCAGGATCGACATCGTCAGGGTCTTCAACATCGTCTAGTTGGAGGATCTCCAAGTCGATTTCCTCGTCCACCTCAGCTTCTTCTTCACCTTCCACAATAGCGTCGAGGGTAGGAAAGTAGTCAGGGGTCTTGCACGGTGCCTTCAGAGGTTTGGCAAGCTTCAAACTCCTCAGCCCAGCACCCAGCACCAGTGCTAGCACGTGGCAGAAACATCGAGGATGATAATCTGCATGATGATCGAAGTTGCCCCTCTTGCTTCTGAGGATCCTCGCCAATTCGGTCGCCATGGTAAAATTGTTGCTGCCTGAGTCAGTCGTCAATGCTGCAATGTATAGGGTTGGAGACAGGTGTCAGCAAGAGCAGCCTATAAAAATGAGAGAAATGAAATACCACTTATTTGGTTATGCAATCCATGCTTGGCAATAACATTGGCAAAAGGAGCCGCCAAGTATTTGCCATTGTGGTGCCAGGAAACATACTTCAACGCCAGGTGCTGAGAAACATATCGCCACTTCTTGTTGATGTAGCAAACCGAGATGCCAATGAACGCTTTGTGATTACCTTTAGTTGTCCAGACATTGGCAATCAAGCCAATCTTTGAGTCGGATTCCTAGACAAAAGAGGTCAAGAGAATGTATCAGCTGCGGGTCGTACATACTATATAAGGATTGAAGAAGAATAATGATATTATAACTTACCTTGATGTCCGAAATCACCTGCTGCTGCAGGGATAAATATAACTTACGTGCATTATGAGCAGCCCAAGTGCGTGAGAAGACCTTCGTATTTGTGTTGCAGTAGTCAAAAGCCACCCGGAGTAGAAAGTCTTCAAACCGAGCCCATGGAAGCGACTGTCGGATGATCCAGAAGAGTAGTACTTTGTTCATGGTGTTGGTATCGAACCTTCCTTTTGTAACGTAAGCGGTCAGTGTACCACTCGCAGGTTGAGCATCCTTTTTCTCCTTAGAGATAGCCGCAAACTTATTGTCGGCACTAGTCGGAAGCTTGGCCCCATGTGCAATGGCCTTTGCTCGTCCAGCACATGCTTTTCGTAAGTGAGAGCAATTGATGGCCCCATCACGGTGAGTCTTGAGGTTTGAATCGGTGGAATCATTCACCCGGACAGACTTAGGGCACCATCAACATTTGTAGGTAAGGGCTCCTTCCTTGAACTGATCAGTAAGCAAATAAACGTACGATGTCAGTAAGCCATTGTTATAAGTAAATCCACTTGCAAAAAT